AATGACATCCCACTTGTTGATTCTTGACCTTAATTCCAGAGCAATTGATGTCTGATACAAAACGTCCTTTCCTTCACTTATATCTTGTAAGTTATTGCCAATGTTTTCTTTTAACAGTTTCAGAGTTTCAGGCTTCACATTGAGGTCTTTGATCCATTTGGAGTTGACATTTGTGCAAGGTGAAAGATAGGGGTTTAGTTTCATTCTTCTACAGGTGGAAATCCAGATTTGCCAACACCATTTGCTGAACATTTGCTGGCTTTCCTCCAGTGAATGTTCTTGGCCCTTTTGTCGAATATTGGGTGGCTGAAATTGCATGTAGTCATATTTGGGTCTTCAGTTTTGTTCCATTGATCTATGGGTCTATTTTTGTTCCAGTACCATGTTGTTTTTATGACTGTAGCTCTGTAATACAGTTTAAAATCTGGTATAGTAATCCCTCCAGCATTGCTCTTAGTGCTCAGGGTTGCTTTGGCTATCTGAGGTATTTTGTGTTTCCATATGAATCTCAGGATAGTTTTTTTTCCCAATTCTGTGAAGAATGTCATTGGAATTTTGATTGGCATTGCATTGAATCTATAAATGTCTTTTGGTAGGATGGTCATTTTCACAATATTAATTCTTCCAGTCCATGAGCATGAGAGGTCCTTCCATCTTCTGATGTCTTCCTCAACCTCTTTCTTTAAGAACTTAATATTTTCATTGTAGAGCTCTTTAATGTCTTTGGTCAGGTTTATTCCAAGATATTTTATTTTTTTGCTGCTATTGTGAAGGGGAGTGTTTCCATGTAGTCTTTGTCTGATTGCTTGTTATTGGTATATAGAAAGGCTACAGACTTTTGGAGATTAATTTTGTAACCTGTCACTTTACTGAACATATTAACAATTTCTAGGAGTTTTCTGGTGGAATTTTTGGTGTCTCTTAGATATATTATCATATCATCTGCAAAAAGGGATAATTGGATCTGTTCTTTTCTGATTATTATTCTTTTAATTTCTTTCTCTTGTCTTATTGCTCCTGCAAGAGTTTCAAGCACTATATTGAAAAGGAGTGGAGATAGTGGACATCCTTGTCTGGTTCCTGATATCAATGGGAATACTTCCAGTTTTTCTCCATTTAGAATAACGTTGTCTGCTTATGTGTTATGGGTCTGTTTAAGTTGTTAATCTCTTCTTGGTTTAGTTTTGGTGGTTCCCATGCTTTTAGGTACGTGTCCATTTCTTTTAGATATTCAAATTTAGTAGCATATAGGTTTTTAAAGAATTCCCTTATAATATTCTGGATCTCTTTGGTGTCTGTTGTAATGTTTCCCCTTCATCTCTGATTTTGTTGATTTGGTGGTACTCTTTCTTTCTTTTGGTTAGCTGGGCTAGCAGTATATCAATCTTGTTTATCTTCTCAAAGAACCAGCTCTTGGATTCGTTGATTCTTTGTATTCTTTGTTTCTATTTCATTAATTTCCATTCTAATTTTGGTTATTTCTTCTTGTCTGCTGGGTTTGGGTTTCATTTGTTGTTGCTTTTCAAGTGTCTTGAATTGCAATGTTAAGTCATTTATTTGTGTTCTTTCTGAGTTTTTAATGTAGGCACTTAGAGCTATAAACTGCCCTCTAAGGTCCGCTTTCAGTGTGTCCAAGAGGTTTTGTTGTGTTGTATTGTCCTTTTCATTTAGTTCCAGGAATACTTTTATTTCTTTCTTAATTTGTCCTTTGACCCACTCATCATTCAGGAGTGTGTTGTTTAATCTTCATGTGTTCATGTGGTTACTGGGGTTTCTTCCAGTGTTGATTTTAAGCTTTATTGTACTGTGGTCTTATAGAATGCATGGAATTAGTTCAATCTTTTTGTATTTGTTGAGGTTTGTTTTGTGCCCCAGTACATCTTCAATTTTGGAGACGGTTCTATGGGGCACTGAATAGAAAGTATATTCTTTGGTGCTTCGGTGGAATATTCGGTAGATGTCTGTTAGGTACATTTGATATACGGTATTGTTTAATTCAGATGTCTCTCTGTTAATTCTCTGACCTATCTAATGGCGACAATGGGGTATTGAAGTCCCCTACTATTAATAAGTTGGGATTAATCTGGGGTGCACCAGAGTTTGGTGAATATATGTTCATGATTGTAATATCTTCTTGATTTATTGGATCAGAAATCAGAATGAAGTGGCCCTTTTTGTCTCTTCTGATTAGTTTTAGTTTAAAGTCTATTTTGTCAGATATTAGAATTGCACCACCTGCTCTTTTCTTAGTATCATTCACTTGGTATTTTTTTATCCATCCTTTCACCTTGAGGTAGTGCCTGTCCTTGAAAGTGATATGAATTCCTTGCAGACAACAAAAAGATGGGTTTTGTTTCTTAGTCCATTCAACTAGTCTATATCTTTTGACTGGGGAGTTCAGTCCATTGATATTTAAAGTTATTAATGAAAGATGCACATTGAATCCTGTCATTTTTATTTTTGTTCACTTCTTGATATAGCTGTACTTTTCCACAGTTATACCTTTATTGAATTTCTTTCCATCACTTCTTGTGTATAGTCTGTCCTTTCTTCAGCTCTTTGTATTGCTTCAAGAACTTTCTGAAGAGCTAGTTTTGTGGACATGAATTCTTTCAGCCTATTTATGTCATAGAATATTTTTCTTTCCCCTTCAACTATGATAGACATTTTTGCTGTGTAATCTATGTTGGCATCTGTGGTCATTTAGAACTGGCAATAATTTGGTCCAGGCTCTTCTGGCTTTCATAGTTTGCACTGAAAAGTCAGCTGTAATCCTGATGGATTTTCCTTTATATGTAATTTGTTGTTTTTCTTGTGCAGCTTTCAGTATTGTCTCTTTATTCTGAATGTTTAGTGCTTTATCTATGATATCCATGGAGAGTTTCTTTTCTGGTCCTGTCTGTTTGGTGTTCTATATGCTTCTTGTATTTGTATGAGCATGTCTTTTTTTTAATTTTGGGAACTTTTCTACAATCCTGTTGAAGATCTGTTCTATACCATTATCTTGAGATTCTTCTTCTTCCTGTATGCCTATGATTTGTAAGTTTTTTTTACGATGTTACATAATTCTTACATATTCTATTCTTGTGTTTTTCTTAAATTTTTTTATAATCTTTGCTTCAGTGGTCTAATTCGTCCAGTTTATCTCCCCATCTTGATATTCTGTTTTCCATTTCATTCATCCTATTGGTGAGGCTTTCTCCTGTCATTTCTAATTGGATTATTGAGT